TGGAGTATGGGCAGAATCGCTATGCTTCCGTCAAGCATACATATTTTTGGGATAACCATAATTTATTTTTAGTCTTACCGTATCATACTTCAAACAAGTAAAGATGTGATATTTTAGGGTTTAGCATAACTTAAACTTAAATTCAAGTATAACGTTTTTCCGGTGCGGGGCTCCAGGGCCAGCGTCACACGGAAACGCCGTCGTCATCGAAGGCTTCCCTCTCGCGCTGCCCGCGCCGCTCCCCAACAAGAGCCCCTTGTCCCTCCACTAGCGCCGACGGTGCGCCGCTCCCGCCGTTCCTCTTAAAGATTTTTTCTCTAAATCATTTCCCCCTTCCCTCTGGGGGCGGCTCTTTGCCGCGCCATCGCGAGAGCCGGCCCGGCGCCGGCCCGTGGAAGTGCCTTATTTCGGACTTTGTCACGTCCCCGACGAGAGTCCCTGCGCTTTATTTGTGCGGGCAGGCACGTTCGACGCGCACCTCCCTGATGAGGACAGCGCCTAGTATTTTTGTCGCGCCGCGCGCCGCCGAGCCGCCACCGGCAGCACCGCGTCAACCTGCCAGTCGGCCCGCTGGTCGTCGACGGCGACGTGAGGACGGCGACGACGGCGTCGAGGGCGGCAGCCTTGCGCGCAGCACGGCCGCCGCCGTCGACCGGGACCGCCGCTCCGCTCCGCTGGCAGTGGGCCGCTGCGCTCCGCTGCGCTCCGCTGCCGCCCGCGGATCCGAGGGTAGGCCACACTGCGGGACGGGCGCGTCTTGCGGAGCGGCGGGGCGGCACCCTCCAGGCGCTCGGCCTCGGCCACCGCCAGCCACGCCGTGCTCGGCGTCCCCGATCTCGACCTCGATCTATTTACCGCGCAAACTTGGGCCATATTGGCGGCGGGTGTTTTTGTTTAATTTATATCCGTTCCGGGGCAAGCAAGGCCTGGCGGGGATTGGGGATCGCTGGCAGAGCGGCGCAGAGCGGGGGCCCCGGGGCCATCTGATTCAGACGGGGGCCCCGACGCGGCCCCCTCGTGGCTCCGTGCTCACACCTGCAGCTTCCAAGCCCACAGCACAATAATTCACCGGAATGGCTAGTAATGGGTGTTGTCTCTCTCTCTCTCTCTCTCCCTCCCCCTGGCTGGCTGTACGTGGAGAGCATCGTCAAGCTGCCCGCCCCCGCGCCGCGCGCCCGCTCCAGTCGACGCGCCTTCTTTCTCTCTCCGAAACTGTTCACTCGTTCCCTGCGGCGGTTTGAAAAACCCCTATCTGTGTCGGTGGGGCGCCGGGCCGCGCACGTGACCGCGCTGCTCGCTTAGGGCGCGCCCCCGCGGGCACGGCGCGGCACGGCGCGGCACGGCACGGCACGGCACGGCCAGGCTCCGCCAATCCGCTCGCCTCACCTTACCTCTCTTCTCTTTTTGCTGTTATCGCCCTTTTCCGCCTCGCGCGCGCGCGTCTTTTTTCGGACCAGTTTTGCGCGCGCGATAGCAGTTAGTCGTTTGGAAACGCTTCCAAATTGATCGGGAGACAGCTTTACTGCCGCGTCATCGTTTTTATTACGAGTGGTATTAATCCGCGGTGCGTGTGTGTGTATTTCTGTGTGTATGTGTGTGTGTGTGTGTGTGTGTGTGTGTGTGTGTGTGCTCGTTTGTGTGTGTGTTTGCGGGGGCCGCCTCGGCCCGGGCCGTCCGTCCAACAGGTGGACTAATGCCGAGGTGCGATGGGACATCTAGACGCTGCATCTGCAGATGGCTGCAGGCAGATTCCGAGGGTCGTTCTCGTCGCTCTGTCTCTCTCGCGCTCACGGGGCGTCCCGTACAGGTGCGAGAGAGACAGACAGCCTGCCGTGGGGTGCCATGCGTCGTGCCGAGACGTTATCGGCCGCTATAGTTGTGCAGTGCGCTAGTGTGGCGCTGGAAGCGGCTGGAGCGGCTGCTGGAAGCCAGGCTTATTCACAGAGGCAGAAGGGATTACCCTGGCGGAGTCTCGCCGTGCTGTTACTCTGTGAAGTCGTCTCGTCGGCGCCAACAATGCCCCCGGGAGAGGGATGGTGCGGCGGGCTGCTGCTGCAACTCTCGGAGGAGGTCATGATCCTCCTCGGTCCGATCCTGGAGACCGGCGGAGAGGAAGGCGAGCGGGAAGGACCTCGGTCTCTGGAGCGCGAGCCAAGTCGCGTCGTCCGGGGGCCGTGCCGTGGGTGCAACAGAAGTACAGTACCACGCAGCGAAAGTCTCCCTCGCTGGCTTTGGAAAGCAGATTAGCCGACTTATCCCGAAACGCGGCTAATTTACTGCAGATTGGCGAAGCGTCCGCCAGGGTTGCACACAGTCGCACACACACACACGACGCCGAACATTTTACCGTATTCTTCTCGGCTCATTAGGCCGTGTCCCACATAGCGTACATGGTAAGCACCTGGGAGGCGATAGGAGTCGATAAAAACGTCGGGCCGCGCGACGGTGCTGCCGCCCGGTGCCGCCTGGCGCAACCACCGCGCGGCGCAAACTGCTTGCTCAGGGAGAGTCGTTAAGATGGCAGTACCCTCTCACGCCAGGGCAGCCAGGGCAGCCAGGGCAGCCAGGGCCCCGAGCAGCTCAAGCGGGCGAGTCAAGGTGCAGTCATGCTAGACGCTCCAGGGGGGCCACCATCCGCCCCGCAACGAAAACAACTTTTTCTCCTGTGCGCGTTACTGCCTCCTCGCGGACGTTGGCCGCCCTGTTTGTAACACTGTTGGCGCTCGCTGCGTGCCCGGCCTTTCACCGTTCGCGATATCTTCGGCGGGGAAAGTGAGTGCGAGAGAGAGGGAGCGCGTCGTCGCTGTCGGCGAGTGAGTGAGTGAAGGATGCAATCGGCGAGGTGAATTTATGCTGGCGAGGTCCTCATCATGCGATCGGGGCGGTGTACAGGCGGTGCAGCGGACTCATTCCGAGCGTCGTCTTCGTCGCTCTGTCTCTCTCGCACTCACGGGGCGCCCCGTGCAGGTGCGAGAGAGACAGAGCGACGAAAACGCCTCTCGGAATGAGTCTGCAGGCGGCGCGGCCGAAGCCTACAAATCAACAAACCGCGCTGGCCCGGCCATGTGCTGCACGCTGCGCTCTATGACCCACAAACGTGTTGAGACACTGCCGCCTCTATTCCTCTATTTCGCGTGGCGGTGCGCCGGGACGGGAACCGCCAAGACAGAGACAAATGTGGCGAGAGGAGAAGCCTGCCCAGGGCGGCCACGCCGGCCACGGCGACGACGCGAAGCCCTTCTAGGCCGTGCCGGGCCGTGCCGGCCGGTGGGGTTCGGGCTGGCCGGGCACGGCGATGTACGGGGTAATTGCAACCCCGGGGTGCCGTAACACTGTAACGCTGTACGAAGGGCTGTTAAGCCCGGGCTGGAAGGGCCTAGTGGCGGCAATAAGAAAAGGGAGGCTTTTTTTATTCGAGGGACAATGGCTCCAGGGCAGCGTCGTCGCCGCCGTCGCCGCGTCGCTCCTGCTCGTCGTCCTGGAGTGCCTCACTGTCTCAATCTGCAATTTCCCTGGCTGCGCTTGCGCCGCTCGGCGGTTCAAGGTTCGAGGTTCGAGGGGCGTAAATCATCCGTCAAGGACGCGTGACGTCCCGCCCCGCCCTCGGAAAAGCAACGCGTTAGCCTGACGCTCTAGCCGCGGAGCGAGCGAGACTCCTGCCGTCTCTCTCGCACTCTAGCGGAACGTCCCGCGCGTGTGAGAGAGACGGGAGCAACCTGGTCGCCGCATGGCGGGAAAGCATCGTAAAGGCTTTGGTGGAAATTTGTCGCGGCACTGGGGCAGCTGGGCCGAGCCCTCGGCCGGGGCCTGGCGGGGCCTGGCTCGCATGTGTGTCCACGCCGCGCGGCCCTAAAAGTCGTACGCGTTATTAATGATGGCTTCGAGTTATTCGAAACAAGCAGCCAGCCCGGAGCACCGCAGAGCAACGCGGAGCAAGCTGTAAAAAAGGAGGGCTGCGCTTTTTATGGAGCGTGACCGATTCGGGGCGGAGCAGGGCGACGCTGCTGGACTCGCGGGGGGGACGGGAAGGGGGTCCTTGTTAGAGGCATGCAACGCCACCAACGCGGCGGCGGCAAATTGAAAAAGCTTGCTTCTTGGTGAAGCCAGCGGAGGACGCGTTTTGGCGACCAGCCGTGGTTCTTGGTTTGGCGGCGTGCGCTCGACGCGGTGCGTGTGGTTCTACAGTGCGGTGCGCCGGAGTCCCCGGTTGTCAGCCCCTTCCCCTCTTCCCCCACCCCCTGGCGCCCCCGGGCGTCGTCACGGAATAAACAATTAGTTAATACGGGCTGGCGCCGGAGTTAGTCGAGTTGGCGTGTGCCTTTCTGACTCGACTTGGCGCCCCGGGAGGCGGGGCGGGCGGGGTGGGGGGAGCACCAGCGGGGGTACGAATCCGAAATCCGCGGCGTTGACGTTGGCGGCCCCTCGGAGACAAAGCAGGCCGTCGTCGCGGTGGAGGCAACGGCGGCGCTGTCGAGGACGAGGCTGCCCTTTTCGCCGTCCTCGCGTCCCTCCAGCCGCAGTGTAGTGCCTCGCTCACGACGCCGTCGACGGACAGGGCCTCGGACACGGCGACGCGGCGACGCGGCGTCCAGCTGGTGACGGAAGCAAGCGGGGCTATCGGCAGCATCTCGGCGGAGTCCCCGCTGGACGTGGCCGTCGTGGTCGTCCCGCTAATGAAGGTCCTCGCGGTGCTTATCGCGGCCGCAGCTGCGGTGGATGCACTGCCGGCAAGTCCTGGCGGTTTTATTCTCGCCGAGCCGAGGAAGGCCGTGAGGGTGGCCGTCAGTCACCCCCGCTGCCCCGGCCGGGCCGTCGGGATCAGCGGATCCTGTTAGCGCCCTGCCTGCGTCGGCCGGCCCGCAGGCCTGCGGCAGGGCCTGGGGCTTCCCTGCGAGCTGACCCAGCGCGGCGGCCTCGTCGGCCTGCCTGGCGGGGATTAGCACCCGGCCGCCCCCGAGCATGGCGTCGAACTTACCCACTGCCTTTTCTCGCTGTTGCAGACCTCAAGAAGCAGTTCACGGCCGCGCCCTACGGCACGCGCATCGCGCTGGGCGAGCAGGCCGAGCTGCGGTGCCTGCCGCCGGCCGGGGTGCCGCCGCCGACGGTGACGTGGCTGCGCAACGGGCAGCCCCTGGCGACGGGCGGCGCGGGCGGCGGCGACGCGCCCGCGGCCTCGTCCGTCTTCGTGTCCGGCGAGGGGCACCTCCTGGTGAGCCGCGCGCGCCTGGCCGACCAGGCCAACTACACGTGCGTGGCGGAGAACATCGCGGCCCGGCGGACGTCCGACCCGGCGCAGCTCACGGTGTACGGTGAGTACCGGGGATTTGGCGTGTGCGTGTGTGTGTGCGTGCGAGGGGGGGCGCACGGGAATTCATTCCGTGATCGTTCGGAAGTTTGTTGTGGCGCGTAATTGGATTCCGGACACATAAACCTGGACGCGCTCGCTCCGTCTCCCTCGCTCTGTCGGGGCATCCCGTGGGGTGCGAGGGAGACGGCGGCGGGCCAGCGCGCGCCGGCGTGCAAGGGCCGACCGGTGTGAGGGCCCGGGGCGGTGCGTGGGGCCCTGAGTCCGAGAGCCGTTTTCGTCGCTCTGTCTCTCTCGCACCTTCACGGGCAACCCCATGAGTGCGAAAGAGACAGAGCGACGAAAACGACGCGGGCCCTGCAGGCCGTGGGGCGCAAGGCCCAAGGGGTGCTCGGGGCGGCAGCTGCTGAGCCGGGCTGTAATCCAACAAGTGTTGTTAACCCTAAAACCGATCGCGCACCGGCCCGGGAGGGGGGGGGGGAGGCCCATAAATCGCGCCAGGTGTTGCAAAGTGAGAGGCCGGCCTAATCTGAGATATATCGGCCGCGCCGGGAATGTAGGGGAAGCGCGACGGAGAGTGTTCCGACATGGGAGAGGAGGAAAAACAAGCGGGGAATTTTGTAATAAAGTCTGGTTTGTTTTTTATTTCTTTATTCCGCGCGGCCTCTCATTAGGCAGCGAGACGAGTGTGCGAAGTTGCAGCAGCCATTACTTCGCGGCACTCGGAGGCCTCGGCGGGGACGTGCACTGCCACCTCCTTTATCTGTTCGAGTGGCCGCCGAAGTCAAAGCCCCGAGTAGCGCTAGCAACGCTAGCAGCGCCCCTCGCGATGCGAGGCAGCCGGAATACTCTCGTCGCGCTGTCGCTCCGTCTCTCTCCCTCTCGCACGCGTGCCGCGTAAGCGCGCGTGGGTGCGAGAGAGACGGAGCGACGCGGTCGCGATTGTCAATCGATGCGCCGTGCGGCCATTAGCTGGGCGCGTTCATTAAATGCGAAGGCACGCGCGGCCGAAAACAACAGCGGCCTGTCAATGTTTGATGCCGATGCCCCGAAGGTCCCCGAAGCCGCTCCCGCTCTGTACAAATATGCGCGGTATCTATCATCAGCGCTCCCAGTGTGCCCGTTGGGCGTCCGCCTCGGTCCGTCCGGGCTGCCGTCAACTAGACCGTCAACCAGCGGGCAGTCACTCCGCTCGCCCGACCGGTCCAAGTGCTCCAATGTCGCAGCGGAACGAAAAATAAAATCGAGGAAATTAAACGCGGGACAGCCATTTGCAAAAAATTAAATAAAAAGTAGCGGAGCACTTTGCGGCGCCAGGAAGCTGGAGGCGTGGGCGCGGTGACATACGGGCGGGCCGACGGAATGCGTGCAAATCACCGGCAGTGCCGGGGACGGCCGCGAAGAACGCCGAGCAGGCCAAGCAGCGCCAGCACCGCCAGCCCGGCAGGACTTTGAAGGACACGGGGGGCTTATGCATAATACGTTGGGCCGGTCCGACTGGTATGGGTGCTGACAGCTCACGCACGCACACACCTACACTCTCACACACTCACACACACACACACACACACACACACGCTCGCGGAACGTCTCGGGCCCATTCATTTTTCACCGGGGATTAGTGAATATCGCGGTCGCTTCCAAATTGGACCACTGAGCCCCCCCTGCTCCGCCCCCAACTTCCTGTTTCTCAATCAATTTTTGATTTGTAGTGTAGCAAGGTTGATGCATATACATATATATGGATGCCACGCCGAATAGGTCGTGATTTACGCATTCCGGATCGAATCGGGTAGAATGATGTGGATTTCCAGTGTGGTTCGCACGCGTGTGTCGTGACCTGCTGGCTGGCTGGCTGGCCGGGCAGGTCTTTGAGCCTGGAACGGGGCCGAACAGCGCAGCGAGTCGAGTCAGTGCTTTCGGTATCCCGAAGGTCCGTAGTCCGTGTATCGCCGGCGACAGATCTACCCACATGCATCACATGGGCCGTAACAATAGGTCCCCCCTTTCCCCCGGCGTCCTCCTGGACTCTACCAAGAAGCGCGCCCCCCCCCCCCCCCCGGTCGCGGGGTCGTGCCGCCGCCTCCGCGATGGCCGCTCTTGAGAACTTCATCTCGCCGCTCATAAGAATGTGCGGCATTATTGGAAGCTGGGCGGAAGGCTGGCTGGCCGCCGCTCTGCTTTTCGCTTTGCTGGCTGGAAAATTCGAAACTCCAGGGGGCTCTACAAACGGCCTGCGCCTGGAACGGGGCAGGGAAATGAAACTCCGCGGACTGGAATGGACTGGAGCTCTGGAAGTGCAACTGGAGTCCCACCCGCTCTACGGCTTCTCATTATGCCGGCCGGCAGTGCACTGTAGCTTTCGCCGCGGCGTGCAAGCGCTCTCGCTCTCTTCGGAGGACTCTCTCGGGCCCAAATTAATAAGGACATCTAATCCGGAATCAAATCTCTCTCTCCCCTTATTGCTTTGCCGGTGGAACTCTCGTTTTCTCCGGCGCTCGTTAAACGCTCTCCGGTTTGTGGATTCCCCAGCGCGTTGACTACCGAAACGACATGTCCGAGCCGGAGATTTGAACCCATGCCAGGGCCGTTCGACGACCACCTCCGGTGCGGTGGCTGCTGTTGGTGGAGGGGGTATTCCGACTTGCTGAGAGGCCAGAGACACGTCGACGCCACACACACACACAGACACGCACGCATCCAGCGGGCCGCCACACCCACACCGGGCGTACACTGATCACATATTCCAGATTTGGATCGGCCGTGTAATGTGGGCCCGGCTAGATAGATGGCGGCAGATGGGGCTGGCGATACAGTGTGGCAACTCGCTGCTGCTGGATCGCAGTGTGTAGGGCCGCGGCGGGTGGCGTGGCGTGGACTGCAACCTGCAGAGCCGGGCCGGCCCGCGTGAGAGAGAGAGAGAGAGGGAGAGAGAGAGAGAGAGAGAGAGAGAGAGAGAGAGAGAGAGAGAGAGAGAGAGAGAGAGAGACGAAGAGGGCGAAGGACAACCGGATAACGAGAAAGTATCATCGGAGAGGCGCGCCGCCGTAATGGGCATCACCTCATTTCGTATTCAATATCGGCTTATCTCCATCCGCCACACACACACACACACACACACACACGCACACACACACACACACACACGCGCACGCAGAGCCGGCCACGAAATGACAATGTCACAATTGGACGTTGTTCCACGCGGATGTGCGTGGGACTACGTCGTCGTTGTCCCTCTCCCTGTATCGCCGCATCGCCGCCTTGACGTGTGTGTCTCTGTTGCAGTGGACGGCGCCTGGTCCGAGTGGGGCTCGTGGAGCGACTGCAGTGCCACGTGCGGCCCGGGCGTGCAGCGGCGCACGCGCACCTGCACCAACCCCGCGCCCGCCAACGGCGGCAAGGACTGCCCCGGCGCGCCCGCGCAGAAGGCGGACTGCGTGTCCGAGTGCCCAGGTGAGTCTTCTCTCTCCCTCTCTGGAGGCTGGGAATCTGGGTCCGTTCGCCTTCGAGTCTCGGCCTGCATTCAAGTCGGCGTCGCTCTGCGGCTTTGAGGGTGGAGTGTCCGGGTGGGCCAGGTCCAGACCCGAATTCGGTGATAGCGCGGTGTAGCGGTGTAGGTTATCTCGCGCGCGGTCAGGCCATTAAGCTAATGGGTGTCGGTCTTCGCCGCGCCCGCCTTCGGCTTGGCGGCGCTCGGATCGCCTCCCCGGCCCGCCAACAACAACCTGAAGAACCAGCAACAACAACAACTAAAAAAAAGTTCCGCCAAGGCAAGCTTAGCAAAGCGGTCTTGCCGTGGCCCGGCAGGCCGGGCAGAGAGGGGGCAAGGAGGGAGGGGGTGGCTGTGAGGAGTGGGGACTGGCGCGGCGGCGCGGCGGCGCAGGACGACGACGGACGACGGACGACGGAACCAACACGACCATGCAGTCCCCTCCGAGCGCGCTGAATAGATGGATGGATGGGATGGGATGGGATGAGTGGGATCGGATGCAGAGCTAGAAGCGGTAGCAAGACCGCTTAAAAAGTTCCACCAAGGCAAGCTTAGCAAAGCGGTCTTGCCGTGGACCGGCCGGGGAAGCCGGGCAGAGAGGGGGCAAGGAGGGAGGGGGTGGCTGTGAGGAGTGGGGACTGGCGCGGCGAGGCGGCGGCAGGCGACGACGAACGACGAACGACGAACGACGAACCACGACCATGCAGTCCCCTCCGAGCGCGCTGAATGGATGGATGGGTGGATGGATGGGATGGGATGAGTGGGATCGTATGCAGAGCTAGAAGCGGTAGCAAGACCGCTTAAAAACGGAGGGTGCTCGAAAAACGTGTCACCCTTTTGCGCCGCTGCGCCACTGAAAGGAACAGCGGGAGGTCCTGGGGCGCAATGCAAATGGCGAGGCGGGCACACTGGGCACGGCGCGCGCAAGGAGGGCGGAAGCGTGAGGGAAGTCGGTGTAATTGTCGGAGACTTGTCGGAGAGAGGGCTGAAGCCGCTAAAGCATTCCTTGTCTGTTCCAGTGCGCCCCAACACGGTGCCCCAGGCCAAGTACGACGGAGTGCAGCTCACGGAGGAAGGTAAGTCGCTTTGAGTGGTGTGCTTCAATTGCAGCGGACGCGACAAAACGCGCAAAGATCCGCCGCCGGCGGTTTTTCCTCGTGTTTTTTGTCGCGCTGCCCGCGGTGCTGTTCCACTGGTCGTGCTCGCAGTGCCGCGCGCCGCGTCCCCGCGGGCCTGGCCCGTCCCCGTGCCGCTGCGTCGCGGTTGCATTTCAATGTATCACATTTTAAGCGCGATGAACAATGGGACCGCGGCCGCACGTTGGCACACTGGTGTGGCAGCGGCGCCGGGTCGGGAGGGCGACATTTCGTAAGGCATGATGGCGGGCAGGGTCCCCAGGGACTCGACGGGCAGGGCCCGGACGCGGGCAGGCCTCGCGGGGGACCCAAGTCGACCCAAGCCAACCCTCGGCCAGCCAATTGGACACGGCCTGACGGACAGTTGACTGAGCGGCCGTGACGAAGACCAAGAGACCGAGGAAGAGGGTGTGCGCGAGGCTAGGTTGCGCCCCGCGGACGATAAGGGGTCTCGGAACGAAACGCGGCACCGGAAGACTCACTGGCTGCGGGGAAACTCGACGAAAATCGTCGACTCTTCGAATGAGGGCAGTCCCCCCCGTTTCGGTCTTCTTGGCGACCTGCTTCGCGGAGATCCGCGCGTCGCGATAGCCGCCGTCGTCGTCGACGCCGTGAGCCACTACCACTCCGGCACCGGGGAGCGCGACGTGCACTCCACGGAGGAGGCTGGCGCGGCCGCGAAGCGGGGCGTGGCTGGGCGCTGCGCCGTCCTGTCCGGGCGTAGTAAATGGCAGTGCGGGCCCACTGCAAAGCCCTGCAAAAGCACACTGCACCGCGTCCGCGTCCGTGTGTGTGTGTTTGTGTCTGTGTGCGCGAGTGTGTCGCCCCGCTTGCTAGGATCTGATAGTATTTGTGTGAGACTCCTATTTTCCCCCCGTCCTGGACGTCGCCGTCGTCCCCGCGCACCGTCTCTCTCGCTCTCGCCGCGCGCATTTCTCAGCCCGAAGGGCCCGACGCAAGGCGCAGAGCCGCAGGCAGGAAATTAGTCCGCTGCATCTTTTGTCGCTCGTCCGCCGCGCCGCCACGCCACGCCCCCCGCGCGACACTTTTGTGACAGGTCGCGTCTTTTTATTTTCCGTCTTGTTTCGTTTAGGCGTTGCCGCGTGTGTGAGTGTGTGTGTGTCCCCTCCCGGTGAACAACTAATAATGTCGGGGCGCGGCCTGCAGGAAGGGGCGTCCCCTTTGAGCGCTCGGAGAATCGTTTCTGTCTCTCTCGCACCCCTACGGGGCGCCCCGTGAGTGCGACAGAGACAGAACGACGTCGCTCCGGAGTCAACCTGCTGTATGTGTGTGCAGCATCGGGACACACACACACAGACACGCGCGTGAAGGGGGTTTGTCCTAAAGGCCCGGTTATTCTGACGCGTTTAGTGGGGCCCACAAAGGACGTACGCGCCTTTTTATTCTTACTTCAATCCGAGACTAAGAAACGTAAGAAAGGTGACCTGTGCGCTGACTGTGTCTTGCTCTGTTGCAGCCGAGGGCGAGCTGCATGCCGCCCTGTACGTGGGCCTGGGCGTGGCCTTCTCCGTCTTCTCCGTGGTGGCCGTGCTGCTTGTGCGCCTGCTGCGGCGCCGCGGACGTCGCGGACGTCGCGCCTACACCGAGGCGTCCACCGGTAAGTCACCGCGCCGCTCATCGACGCATTGAGCTGTGTGTGTGTGTGTGTGTGTGTGTGTGTTTTGCTCCCCGATTGATCGAGCGGTTAGTTATGCCTCCCACGCTTCGGTGGCTACATCGCTCATTGCCCCTGTAGATCCACGAGCCTCTCTCTCTCCCTCTCTCCCTGTCTCCGTCTTTCTCTTTCTCCCCCTCGCTCGCTGCCTCTGGGAAAGGAAACTCATTTTCGGGTGTGACACTCACGACACGTCGTCGTCGTATAGGCCCCCGTTGTTGGAGAGAGGGAGGGGCGTGCCGGGCCGAAACAATGGGTGCTGGCAAAGGGAGCCCGGCCCGGCCCGGCCCGGCCCAGGGCTCGCTCGCAGCCAAAGGCACAACGCCTGGAAACTCAAGTGCGCTGACGGCGTCCCCGTTGTCGTGTTCGGGGTCCCCGACGGCCCCCGACGGCCCCCGACGGGGACGCGGAAGCCCCGGATGGGTCATGTCCATCAATAGGGCCCGGCGCCGCCGCGCCGCCACGCACTGTTGCTGCGGCGGCCGGCTCCGCGCCCCCGGGCCGTAGGCCGCAGGGCCACGGGGCCGCCTCGTCCATAAAGATGAGGTTTGATGAGGGCTGTCCTGTCGCGGGAATAGAGTTTTTCTGGACGTGCCGGACCGGGCGGCGGGGCGGCCACGGGGCGGCCCAGCACCCAGGACGGCCCGCGGCGGTGCCTCTCCGGGCCGCGGCCCGTGTGGCCCGCCAGCGTGCCGGCCCCACACTGGCCTCCGGGCTAAAGCTGGAACTAACTGCAAGTTAAACACCGAGCCCAGCCCCCTTCCCGAGTCAGTCAGCCCAGTCTGGAGCTTTGTAGCTGTAGCCTTCCGGCCGTAGGATTCGATTCCCGAATTTCCCGATCTTTCTCCCCGAGCTGTCTGCCCGCCCCGCCGCGCCGCCGCCGGCCAAACTCTTTTAATTAGCCCAACTACTTTGCGAAGGCCGCCGCTTCCGACCGGGTAAGATTTCCGCGCTAATTACCGCCATCTCGGCCGTCTTGTTGTCGCCGACGTCTCCGACGTCCTCGAAGTGCGCCGAGTGCGCGGCGCGCAGTGGCCGGAGTATGGCTGCCCGTTCGTGCCCGGCTCGTCGTCAAAGGGGGACTGGCGGTCCGTGAACGGGAACGGTCCGCGCCGCGGCAGCAGCCTCGCAGTGGAGTCGATGTGCCACGCGGGGCGGGAGCGCATGAAACACAACGCGGATAACTGAATTACGCTCTGCAATGCGCCGCCAATGTGTGTGTGTATGCGTGTGTACAAAGCAGGTGTCTGTGTTGGTGGGGAGGGCGGGCGAACTTGTCCAACTGTCTGTCTGGCGGCAGGGCGTGCCGGCGTATACGACTAAACAATAGAGGACAGGCCGCATTGCCGCATTTCACAGGCGCCCCCGGGCAACCCCTCTCGCGGGCTGCAGGGGGTGGGGGTGGTTCAAAGGAGCCGTTCGCTCCCCTCCCCTCCCCTCCCCTCCCCTCCCTCCGCGAGCTGCTGCCAATGCCCCGACACCTGTTGTCGCCTCGAGGGCCTCGCGGCGGGCGCTGCCTGCCTTGCCTTGCCTGCCAGTCGACCGGGCCTTCCCCGCCGCCTTCGCTACTTTCGGCATTTCGGCCTGTAGGCCCGCGCCCCCTTCGGCCGTTCGCGTCTTTGGCAAGAAGTCCTCCCTGCCAAGTCGCAGCCGTCACGTGCTTTGTTCCTGGAACTCGGCGAGGCGCGGCGCTCGGCGCGCAGAAGCCACCGCCAGGGCGGAGCGCACCGAGCCGACGGGGTAGTCCGTGTTCTTTCCCGGGCGGTCTGTCTAGTTGGCGGCGCTGGCGAGTTTTGATGTAAGACGCTGCCGCCTGGCGGCCTGGCGGGATTAAAGGGCCCAACTTGGCGGCCCGGAGTGTATTGTCTGGCGGGTTTGGCCTGTTTTGCGGTCGCAGTGACACAACTTCCGACAGCCACGGCCTCGGCCTCCGCCGCCGAGGGTCGTGGGGGAGGCCGAGCCGAGATCGGTGGCCCCACGGTGGCCCCACGGTGGCCCCACCGCGAGCACAATGCCGAGTCGATAATTGTTGGTGATTGAATCAGGGGCAGGGGGCGGGGCGGGGCCGCGTGGCGCCAGTCGCTGTGTAAACTTGGGGTCCAAGAATTCCCAAGTGCTTGCGGATATGTTGACACGGCTGGTCCCGGAACTAGGGCCATTAATAATTTAGCCGGCCAGCCCTGCAGCCCTGCAGCCAGCCGAGCCTCGGAGCTGAATAGTGGCATTGTTTCTGCCCGGAATGAGTTTATGCAGCCAGAATAGTAGCCGCCATGTCGCGCTGGGCCCCGCAGGCCTCGCCGTCGCCGAGGGGCTGCCGTGGGGCGCGCCTCCCCGCCGTCGTCGTCGCCAACTTGGCTTCTTGTTAATGAGCGTCTTGGCCTGCTCTTTGTTTCAGAGTACCCCGCTGACTTCATCCCGGACACGGACAAGAAGGGCCCCGACCTGACGTCCTCCGTGCCCGTCGGCCTGGGGCTGGGCACGGTGGGGCCCCCGCTGGGGTCGCTGGCCGGTTCGCTGGGCGGCCGCCCCCTCAACGGCGCCCTCAACGGCCTGGCCGGCCTCAACGGGCTGGGCAGCCTGGGCCCCGGCATGGGGCTGGGCCCGCCGCTGTCCGCACCCCTCAGCTGCTACCACTACCCGCTGCCGCTGCCGCGATCCGACTCGGAGCACCACTACGACGAGCCGCACCTGGCCACGCCGTCGGCCTCGGCCACCTCCTCGTCGTCGTCGTCCTGCTCCACGGCCTCGGCGTCCACGTCGCCGTCCGCCACGTCGACGCGCACCATGGGCTCCTCGCGGGCCGACTCTGTCAACGGAGGTGAGTAACGCCCCGTGTTTTTATTTTTATTTGTTCGTCCGCGCGACACCCGCGACACCCTCGACGTCGCGCTGACAAATCATCCCGAATGTGTTGGCGCTGCGCGGCGCTGCGACTCTTGTCGGCCGCCACGCCCCTCGGCGTCGTCCTCGTCGGCGGCGACGTGTTGCTGTTGCTGGCGCTTTGATGCGCCGGCCGCCCGGCCGCGGTACTAAGAGGGGCTCGGAAGGGGTGAAATGCCATGCCGGCGCGCCGCCGCGCCGCCACCCTTTCCCAACTTTCGGCCTTTCGGCCCGACGCGCGGCTTGCACGGAATGCAGCGCTGGCGGCAGCGCGGCAGCGTGCCAAGCGGGGAGGGGAGCGCCGTGCCGTGCGGTGTGCGGTGCTGGCCGTGCTGGCCGACGTCAAGTCGTCCGCGCTCCGCGCCTCTCGACGGCCGCACCTGAGCGCGCTGGATTGTGGACGTCGTCCAAAAGGGCCGTCGCCCCGGTCCCCGTTGTCGGCCGGCCCGCCGCACCCCACCCCGCCCCGCCCCGCCCCCATTCAGTCATGTTTGCCATTCATCTAGAGCGTGGCCGAGCGTGCGGGACACTACGGGGACGCGGCCCGGTCGGCTTGCTTCGCAAATTGGCCCCGTCCGCGACGACGCCCCCTCGGCACCCCGCCCCGCCCCGCCCCGCCCCGCCCACCGAGCGCACGGCCCAACTCACACAGTGCGCTGCGCTCGCATTCAAAGTTGCTGCCCCCCCCCCCCCTCCCGTCCGGCCTATGCCTGGCTGCCTGCTCGGGCTGCCCGGCTGATATGGAGATGAGTCACTTGGCGGTGCCATGGAGCGGTTTGTTGTCCGCGTGACTCGCGTGACCGCGCCGTGACGCGTGACTAGTGTGCCGGCCGGTCCAGCAAAATAATATTCATCATCATCGAGTCGACTTATTCGCCAGTGTGCGCGCGCGCGCGCGCGCGTGTGTGTGTGTGTGTGTGTGCATACTCGGCCGCGCGGGCGGACTGCGCGGACTCCGTGGGGACTATACGCGGGCGGCGCGGTGGCTGGTGTGCGGTCGGTCGCATGAATTTTGATGGCGCATCCAGATGATGTGTTGTTTGGGCAGATCGGTGCGCGGTCACTGGAGCCCCACCGCAGCGCGCACTACATCGCTCATGCCCGCCGCCCCGTCCGCCCTCCGCCCCCAGCTGACGCCCTGACGTGGCGCGCCACCACCGCGTCGCCTGCACTGTGCAGTGGCGGGGCTTCTCGGAGGAAGCGTGACGGAGTGACGGGGCTGAGTCACACCGTCAGACCGTCACCCAGCGGCCGCGCAGCCCTTGACTAATCCCCCTGAGCTGGCCGCCATAGGCCGCCCGTCCGCCAGGCCTGTGTCTAGTGCGGCGCGCGTCGCATTGGCCTTCCCTGCGTGACTCGGCGAGCCAGAGGAACGGAAACGAGGAAAAAAGAAAAGTTTATTGATTGAGCGGGTGTTCGAACCCAACCAACCCGGTGCACCGGGACTGCTCGCTCCGTTGGGCGGCTCCATCCCGTTCCCCGTTACGCGACGTGTATAATTGCGCATGTGGGAACGCCTCGGCGCCTCTCGGCCGGAAGCTCGCCGGGACGGGACGGCCGGGTCGGGCCGCCAGGACGGCGATGACGGCACGGACGGGCCGCCGGGGGGACTTGTTCAGCTCGGCGGTGTAATCGAGGAGGCCTGATCGTGACGCGCGTTTTGCTCCCCGACTCGCGTTTAGCGCTCCGTTGCGTGTTGACACGCCTCGCCCCGCCGAGCCGAGCCGCCGAGTGCTACAACCCCGCGGCCGTGGCGCGGCGCGGCGTGGCGTGGCGTGGCGGCAACAAGGTGGCCGATACATATCTAGCATGGAGATTGGCGCACCTTCCTGTCCATGCAGATGCGTGCGCGCCGTGTGTGTGAGTGTGCCAGTGTGTGTGCGTGTGCGTTCTTCCCTGGACGGCCTGGACGGCCTGGACGGCGCGGCGGCAGCAAGAGTCGAACGGAAACAAACGGTCGCGATGGATTTATGGCCGCGCAGGATGTGCTCTACTTATGCGAGTCTTACGCGCGGGCCGCGCCGAGCCGCGGACGTCGAGGAGGAGAAGAAGGCCGCGCACCTGCTGCTGCTGGCCGGGGGTTGTCGTCCTGCTGTCCCGGCCTGCCTCCGGCCGCGTCCCTGTAACATACGGCCGGCTCTTTATTTCCCTGGAGGAAGTCGAGCCTGGGTCCACGCGAGGCGCGACGACGACCGGCGGCGTCGTGGAGTCACCTGGAGCGTGTCCCCTGCGATACGCTTCATCTCTCGTCAAGGCGGGGCGGGGCGGGGCGCGGCAGGCAACGGGTAATGAGCCCTCGTCACCCCAGCGCCCCGCCCCGCCCCGCCCGAATGCCTCTCGTTCCGCGCGTACCGCAGTATCGGCCGAATGCCGCGCCACGCTACGCCGCGGCTCTCCGTCAAGGCCCCTTTCGTGGCCCTTCGCGGCTTCACAGTGGCGCGGCGGCGTAAGCGTGCCCAATCGCGGCGCCGTATCTCGGCAACCCTTTGGGGGCCCTTCGCCGTCGCGGCGCGTCTCCACCGCGTCTCGCCGCGTCTCGCCGCGTCTCGCCGAGTGGAGCGGAGAAAAATGTGGCGGGGAAGCAGCACTGCAAGGCTGCGGGGCTGCAGGGTCGTCGAACGCAACTGATTTGTGACTGCCTCTCTTCCCTGCCCAGTCCCAAAAACCCATTGAGCATCCCATGAGTCATGGGACGCCATGGGACACCATGGGCCGATTTTTCCCATGGGGAAGATATCCCATTGATTTTTTGCACCATTTCCCATGGTGTTGAGCAACCCATGGGGAGATGCCCCATGGTGTGTCCCATGGGAGCACTTCCTTGCCATGACAGAGTGTCTAGAAAGATCATTCTATGAAGTGCCTCCGTCTGCGAGGGTCATCACCCACATTAATGTCCGCTTAAGGTGAACTTTTCACGATACAACCGATTTTGCAACTAGATTTTGTCTACAAGTCACCGTTGACATGATATTACCTCAACGTAAAAATTAGACGGAGACTTCAACGCACGGGCAGAAATTCCATCCCATGGGAATAGCGACGCCATGAGAAAGTTCACACCATGGAGAGGCCCTCCCATGGTGTTCATCCCGCGCAATGGGAAATCACCTCAATTTTCAATGGGAGGCCACTTACCCATGGTGCTGACCCGCGTTCTCATGGGATTTCAGTTAGGTCCCATGGAATATGACTCATGGGATCCCATGCGACCCATGGTTTTTTGGGACTGGGTGTTGCAGGCGACTCCCTGTCCGACGTGGGCGTCACCATGACGACGTGCTCCGCCACGTCCGCGGGCGCGCGCCTGTCCCTGCCCGAGTGCGGCGTGTCGCTGACGGTGCCGGAGGGCGCGCTGGCCCGCGGCCAGGAGGCGCTCATCTCGCTGGCCGTGCTGACGGAGGACCGCGCGCGGCCGCGCCTGGCCGAGGGGCAGACCCTGCTGTCCGGCGTGGTCCAGGTCGGCCCGCCCGGCCTCGTGCTCAACAAGTCCGCCGTGCTGAGCGTGCGCCACTGCGCCGCGCTGTCGCCCGACTGGCGGCTGTCCGTGTGGGGCAGCCACGACCTCTCCGCCGACGGCGAGCAGGCGTCGTGGCGCGAGCTGCTGGCCGTGGGCGCCGAGACCATCAACACGCCCGCCTTCGTGCAGCTGGACGCCACGCAGATGTACCTCATGTGGGACCAGCTGTCGGCCGTGGTGCTGGTCGGCGAGTCTGCGGGCGGCCCCATCGTGGGGCCGCTCAGCCCGCTGTCCCCCACCCAGGGCGCCGCCAAGAGGATCCAGGTCGCCGTCTTCGCCGAGGCCCGCGGCGCCGGCGTGCGCGTGTACGCCTTGGAGGACACCAGCGCCGCGCTGCAGGTAGGCCGCGCCGCCGCGCAGAAACTCGAGCCCCTCGCGGGAGTCGAACCCGAGACGGTAACTCATCCCTGTGCTTTTCGCTCTGTTCGCTCCAGAGCGTGATCCAGGCGGAGCGGCGGCTGGGCTCGCGCATGGCGGCGTCCCCGCAGACCATCGCCTTCCGTGACGGCGGCGGCCCCCTGCTGCTGGACCTAGAGCAGGGCGGCCTCCACGGCGTGCACGAGCACCAGGAGATCCCCTTCCGGCACGTGTGGGGCAGCGGCACGTCGCAGCTGCACTGCGCCTTCTCGCTGCAGCAGCACAACCTGGCCAACCCCAACGGCACCCTGTTCCGGGTGCGCGCGTGCCAGCAGCACGACCCTGCCGGTGGCGTCACCATCGCCGCGCTGCCCGGCGGCAGAGTGTCCCCCGCGCCACCGGTAAGTCTGTTCCCCGGTTTCCCAGGTGACCGCGAGGCGCGAACTGCAGTAGCGCCCGGTGCAACGGCCCGCGGACAATGCTGCCGCACGACGTCCACGACGTCCGGCGCGATGATGCGCCGATTCGTTCCGTCTTGATGCGATCTCACCGACGGGGATTTGCTCCGCTCGGTGTTCCCAGTGTACGCGCACCTCGGCGTGACCGATCGGCTCATGACGTTGCCCCCGTCTGTTGCAGGTGCAGTGCCGGACCCTCACCGTCACGTCCACCAGCGCGCGGCAGACGGCCTGCAGCGTCGACGCGGAGCCCTTCCGGTGAGTGTCCGTTCCTTTTATCGTTTTACAGATGCGATCCGCCCCGACCTGCTGAGGAGCTTGACGTTAACTGGACGCGGGGACACCGTTCGACTTCCGGCCCCGCCGTGCGCCGTGCGCGCCGTGTCGAAGCAGGTCGTCATTATCATAGTCTTGGTGCAATGGAAATGCATGCAAATGCGTGCGACCGCCGCGGAGTCCCTCGAGTCCTTCCCTCTGCGACTCCGGATTAACTGCCGCGTTCGATGCGGCCGGACAGTTATCGCTGGCGGATCTTGCGACAGCGTCGCCATCGTCGCCACTGTCTTGTAGTGGCGGGGCCGGCGGGGCCGGCGGGGCGTGGAACCGAACCAAACTGGCCAGAGTCCTGCCGCTGTCCCGGCCCGCAACGCTCCGCCTTGTTTACGACTGTGATTGGCATTGGATGCTGCGGACTCTGTAAACTGTTTGCGCGGGGCGGGGCGGGTGTTCCCGGCGGGGCTGTAGCGCTGTACGGTAGCGCGTCGTTTACGATGCTCCGAGCACAGAGTTTTCAGTTTACAGTTTTACGGCGCGCCCGTCCGCGTCGCGCCAGTCGCGAGTGCAGTGGCGGTGCTGCGGTGCGCGACGCGGCGTGGCGCCCGTTTCATGTAAAGCAGGCCAGGGCGCGTAATCCCGCCAGTTCCCAGAGTTTCGATCAGCGTATTTCATATCCGGCGTGATGGTGGGGCCGGCGTGACGTTTACGCCCCCACTGCGGCCAGCGCGGCCAGCGCGGCACACCCGGACTTGTGTCCCGCACTGGAAGTGATTTCGCGGCCGGCCGGCAGGGGGCGGGGCGTTGACTCATTGATGGTCTTAAACTCTTCTTCTCACCGACGCGCTGTCTTGTTTGCCCTCCAGGTTGTCGAGGTCGCTGAGGCAGCAGCTGGCGCAGTGTCTGGACCCGCCGAACGCGAGAGGCAACGACTGGCGGATGCTCGCGCAGCGGCTACACGTAGACAGGTAAGACCAGCGGTTCAAATACACCCCTATTCTGTACTTTTTCTCCCTTTGATGAATTGGGTGTTGACGTGTTTGGCCCCATCTTGTGCCGCAGGTACATCAACTACTTCGCCACCAAGTCCAGCCCAACCGACGTGATCCTGACGCTGTGGGAGTCGCGGTCGCGAGAGCCCACCGCCATGGCCGACCTGCTGTCCACGCTGAGGCTCATGGGCCGCTCGGACGCGGCGCAGATCCTGGAGAAGGAGGGCGGGCCGTCGTGGGTGTGAGTCAAGACAGCCAAGGCCTGCTGGGCGTCCTCCGCTCGGCGCGGCCATGGCGCGGCCCCGCGCTACTCTGCCCCGGCCATCCGTCGGTCGTCGACGTCGATGGCCGGGGCACGAAGTAGCGGCCCATCTCGTGCTGTGCTGTGTGTGGCCGGACCACTCTAGTGCCAGAACCCTCTAGTGCAACGCGGCGCTCGGCCCGGAGCGAAGTCAGCAACTGCATGTTATTTATATTTCAATATAGATGCCAAACTGTGGACTTTGCCGCCTCTTGTGTAAAAGTGACGCGCATCGTTCAGCTGTACACCGTAATTCAGAGCTTTATTTTCAATTGTGTTAGGAAAGAACAAATTGTAATGGAGTGTATAAAACGTGGATGATAGTATCTTTTAAATTTATGTGTATTATGACTTGAGTGAAACAGAGTTATTTTATGTAAGACTGTGATACCTTCTTTTCTGTTTATCTTTTTAACTGTGAGTATTGTGTATAGCTTTCTATTCTGTTAAGTGTGAGGATCTGAACAGTTCATCTGGTGTGGGTCTGCCTTCTTTCCAACCAATTTGGGAAAGATGCAGGAGGCCATTCCTCAGCATAGTATACATTCAACACAAAAATATTTGTTACACATGATTTTATTATTTTAATAGACTGTTATCAATAACATGTATGTTACCGCACATTTTAAAATTTGTCATATTACAAGTTAAAGACACTTGTAACATGCTTTAAATGTTGTTTTTATAGCTTTATTAAAAAATGATTTGTTTCAGTTTGAAACTATCCGATAAGACTAATGCGGAAATATTTATTAGTGTGACAATAAATCGGAACCATTTTCTCATGATGATGAAGACCTGGAGGAAACCTATGCTTGGAAATAGATGCGTTCAGTTAGATTTGTAGAAGGAGCATGACTAGGAGAATGATGCCTCCACAATTCAGCTGTAAATACACCGCTGTTATATTTTTATTTGGAACTTTATAACTGACCAATAGAAATAGCCCTCAAGCCTAGTTGAAAAAATGACTTTGAAGTCGATTATTTGTCGTAGAGCATCCATTCTAGATGTGGCCTACTTTTATACGTCGTGCTTGGCATTAACTACACAACATTTGTCCTGTACTGAGGTGCTGATCTGTGAAGCCATAAGTCTGTGTGCTGTAGTTAACTGTCTGTCACAAATAGAAGCAGTGCAACAATGTATGTGTTCTACAACTGGTTCTGTTCCACTTATTTTTCACCAATGAATACCAATTGACTGCTGAATAATGTGTTCAATATGTACTGTTTATGTCGTTTTATTTCACAAATATGTGTATGTACTGTATGTATTTAAATTTCACCAAACCGTAGGGTAGTCTTCCTTCCCTAGAGCCACTTTGCTCAAATAAGGCCAAATTTTCCAATGCATAGAGTGAAACGGAGAGTTTTAAAAAACAAGTCTCTTCTCAACTATTAAATATTATTGAAATTCTCTTTGTTATCTGTTACGTTGGTAAAATTAAAAATTTTGTGTTACCGTATACTGAAAGGAGGATATTTTTGGTTGGCTTCAAAAATTGCCTCAGGTACTCTATCAACGCTCCTTGACCAACATTGTTTAAATGCAATGTCGAACATAAACAGGAGAGCTGTGCCTTTTAAGATATACGAAATGCCTATAATATTATGTGCAGAATTTTATGCGGTTTGAAATCGATGTTAAATTCTACAAACTACGAACAACTGTCAATCCTTCATAATTTGTTATTTTTATATAAAAGTTTGTATAAAAATGTTTGTAGATGAGACGAATAAAGATTGCAGTGTTACTTGATTGAATTAAAGCTCTAGTCTCATTCAACATTCCCTTACCAAATACTTACGCTTAAAATGAAGCAGTCGACAAGTTCATTGGAAAGAGCAATCCGGAGCGAGGAAAAGAAAGGCAAGGATGCGACGGGAAGGGGGCCGTGAGGGAATAACAGGGCGTCCCGTGTTGACATGTTTTGGAGAGTTTCGCCCTGGAGAAGCGAGGCGGTACAAGTGGATCCCACTTTCCCAAATTGATGCCGGGGCTGGGGTGGGGGAGGGGGCACAACTGCGCGCGAACTCGCATCGAAGCATCAAGATGATTGACGAGAGAAGACGTAGCTTCCATTTGATACTTGGGCCTGGCTGCAAGCCTAGCTGCCCCCCAGTCACTTCCACACTTAATCCATGCCAGCACTGTGGGCTGCCCATCAGCTAGCTTCCGCAGAAAGCCGCCTTCGTACGACTTTTGGCGCCAAAAATAGACACGCTGATCATAGAGCGCCGAAATACGGCGGAAGGAATACTATCTTTGCGCGGAGGGGCCTATTTTGGGGGCTGGGTGAGGTTAGGTAAGGTTAGGTATGCTTTTAGGCTCGCGGCAGTCGGCCCGCCGTCTGCCGGTCCGTCGGCAGGCCCGCGTGGCATGCGGCTGCGAGTGCCACACGCTCGGTCCTGATGGGCTGGGCCGTCCCTGCGCCCTTCGCGGGGACCTCCGCGTGGCCGCAAGATCAGAGGGCCGCCCCGCCACGCCCCGCCCCGCCCTTCCCTACCGCGTCCAGGGGATGCCATGCCAAAGGGGCTGTTCAATTCATTGGTTGGGATGCTCTGCATTGTCAAGTCGTCCCCGCCGCCCCTCGCATACCCCTCGCCACGTCCGGACGCCCCGAAGTAGCCTCGACAAGCCTGCAAGTGGAATGGGGTGCGACGCACCGCAACGCCAGGCAACGAACTCCCAGCGACGCAGCCTTACGCAGCCGTGCAACGATACTCAACAAAAACGTGTGCACCGAGTCTGAAGTGGCAATATAGACCAATATCTTTCAGACTCTCCTAGCCAAGGCTGATAATCACAAACAGAAGCAAAATACTTTTTAATTCGTTATCATTCAAACGCAGGAATGAGGACACAACCCACATAACCTGAATTTAGATGGGAAAAAAGAAAAATGAGATATATTTTTATTAGTTGTCGACGGCCATCTCGACGGGCGTCACCGCGCCGCCCCTCCACTCGAAGGCGTTCCTGCCGGCAGTCGATGGTGCCGACGGTGCCGGCGACACTTGGAAAAGGTTACGAGGGGCGCAAAGGGAATCAAATTTGATTAGAAAGCGCGCGAGGCGGGGCGGGGCGCGGCGGGGTTGGGGGTGGCCAGGCCCTCACATCGCGTCGCCAAGACAATAATGGCTGATCCACTACGTCTCTGGGCGCCAAATGTCACGTCGCCAACGGAAAGGGAAAGGGAGGGGGGGGGGGGTGAAGCAGTCTCGAGAAGGTGCGTGAATCACGGAAAAAAATGGATTTGCTAGCCCAGCTCAAAATTAGCTGAGGCAGCTAATGTATTGGCTGGTATGGCGCCACCGGAGAATTTAGGTGGCACAGCCAAACTACAGCTGCACTAGCTATTTTGTTAGGTGTTACAACTTTTGAATATTGGCATACGCAGCATGCATATTAGTTGAGGCAGCTAATATTTTTGCCTTCCTACTGTGAAAATTTGCTACACCAATAAATGGGTCAGCTGTTTGGACTAACATGGGCCAAAAAGTCGCACAAAAAAACGTTCAGGAAAAGGGGATGCGAACTCCAGTCTCGCGGTTCAAGAGACGGGGACGGTACCACCGCGCCACCACGTCACTAGGAAAATAGCGGCACCAGCCACGCATTTAGCACTTTGCGACGGGCAACGTTCGTTCCCTCGCGCTGTTGAGACTATGAGGAAAATGCCCCTGGTCACATTGCTAGATGTCATCGCAGCGCCGTGGTACCGTCCTCATCTCGTAAATCAAGGGACAAGGGTTCGCGTCCTCTTTGCCTGAACTTTTTTTTGTGCGACATTTTGGTCCATGTTAGTCCAAACAGCTGACCCATTTAATGGTGTAGCAAATTTTCACCGAAGGAAGGCAAAAATATTAGCTGCCTCAACTAATATGCATGCTGCGTATGCCAATATTCAAAAGTTGTAACACCTAACAAAATATCTAGTGCAGCAGTAGTTTGGCTGTGCCACCTAAAATCTCCGGTGGCGCCATACCAGCCAATACATTAGCTGCCTCAGCTAATTTTGAGCTGGGCTAGCAAATCCATTTTTTTCCGTGAAGGGCTACCGCCACCGGGCCCTCCACGACGGCAAGACTCGAAGCTCGAAGCCTCGGAGGGGAAGGAACTTTGGAGTGGATGGGGACAGCAGTCGGAGGATTGAAGAAACGGAAAGCGGGAGTCCCCAGAAGGCCGCGCGTCTCTCTCACTCTCTCTCTCTCTCGGCCCGTTGTTCCATCTTCATCCAGAGCATTAATTATTTCCACAGAGTTACCGGCAATTCCTGTCACCATTCCCACTCCAAGACGAGAGAGATGAAACCAAAACGTGTCACTGCGGGGTGCCGCGTCACAGGCCCGGGCTCTCTCCTTCTTCACGAGCAGCGTAAACCGCCTTTGGCTAAGCCTGGCGTGATAGCTTAATTCGTTTAGACGGCCGGCCGAGTCGGGCCGAGTGGATGCATAATGCATTATGCATGCGCGTAGGTGAAAAGACGAGGTGTTGGAGTGCGGCGCCGGCAGTGCTCCGTTTTCGAAAAAGCACCGAGGCCTGCCGCCTGCGAACCGGCGGGTAGGCATCACCACCGCACCGGGGTAACCGGTTGCCTACCCGCCGGGCGGCCCGCCAGAGCCACCGCCGCCGTTCCCCCACCCGGAGTCCTTCCCCGGAAGGGGGTCGGGCCGGGCCTTGTTGGTCGCCCCGTCTCCTTCGCACCCCTACGGGCCCAACGGGTCTGCGGGACGCGGCGGGACGCCCCGCGAGTGCGAGAGGGACGCCAGCCGCCTCGCCAACTTTAATTAAAGCAAGTTTGAATGCGCATCAGGTTGGCCTAATTAGCATCAGGTGCAAATTCTGGCGGCGTGGGGTACTTCTTCTTCCCGGGGCGCACCGCCACGCACCGCCCTCCGGGAACCGAACGCCGCGAACGGCGACAGTAAGAGCACAAGGCGGCGGCGCCACGTCACCGCCTTGCAGTGGCGTGGGTTATGCCAGCAATCGGGAAGGACACAGGTCATTAATTTGACGACAGTCCCGGAAGAGAGTCACACGCGTCGCCCACGCCCTGCAAGTGTCGCCGATCAATGTTCGCTGTCATAACCCAAGCCAACCCAACCCCCTCCTGGAGACGCCGCGTCCCGGCATACGGATAGGCCGCGCGCCCGTCCTTTCAATGGGGTTAAATTTCACCATTTTGAGGGGGCGATGAAATATTCATGGTGAGAATATGAGCTCCGTAATGACTCGCTGCCCCCGCGCCTCTCGCTCTAGCCTCGCTCGAGGAGGCGGCCGGAGCAAAGTTTCCAGTTTCGGCGGCGCGGCGCCGTGGCGGTGCCACAGCAGACGCATTCCGAGAGTCGCCCCCGTCGCTCCGTCTCTCTCGCACTCATGGCGCGCCCCGTGCAGGCGCAAGAGAGACAGCGCAACTCTCGGAATGAGTCTGCAGCCCAGGCAGGGCAGTGGCGCAGCCACTTTGTCGCAAATGTGGCTGAGAGCGTAGGGTAGGTTAGGTCAGTGAAATACGAAAATCGCTTTGCGCACGGTTCCGCATCTGTTTTTGTCCGTCAGAGCCAGCGGCACCCGCTCCAAGAAAAGCCCCTCTTGAAAGGGGATGAAAAGGAAGGCCTTCTCGGTGTTCCGGGGGCCGGACCGAGGAGGTCAACACAGGCCGTCTCGTCTGGCCAGCGCGACAATATCAGCAACTGCCCAGCCCGGGACATGAAAAATAAACAGCAACAAAAATGATAACCAAAATAAAAATGCATAAACATGAGCGGGCGGCTTAAAGCAAAAGCACGCAGGAAGAAGGAAAAACATCAAGACGCCCCTGCATAAAAAGAAGGCTTCGCAAAACGACAGGAGAGCGTGGGAAGGAGAAGGGTTGCCTGCCTGCAGCTTACTGGTGGTGCACACACACACACACACACTTGCTCTCTCTCTCCCACACACACACAGTCCTGATGAGGAGAGCCGCTCTGCTCGCCAGCTTCTTTAGTTGTTTGTCTTTCCCGAAGCTACAATAACGTTGGCCCGCCCTTCTAGTAGAACTAACAGGGGCTTTGCTCGGCCCTTCTAGCGTCCTGCCCCGGACCGGTGCGACATCACCAAACCCTTCCACGCCACTGCAAGGCGCAGCCCCTCAGCGGACTACGGTTCCGAATTTCGTCACCCTGTCTCTGTCGCACGAATGGGTCGTCCCGTGGGGGAGCGAGAGAGACAGCACGAGGCTAGGAATGGGCGCTGCCAGCCAATACGGTGAGGTCTCGTCGGCATCGTCGTCGCCCCTCCACGATGATGACAATCTGCGCCAAATGAGGGGACGGGAGGCGAATTATCATATTTCCTCGTTCTTAAAAATGTTATGCAAAAAGGTGTCCCTGACGCCGCATAGCTTGTGCTTGTCTGCGCGCCGTTTGCCTCGGTTTCCCTCCCGCGCGGCCGCGGCGACGGGGCTCGGAAGGAATCCCCGCGCACCCTGTTCGAGACACTGAATGGAAATTGATGAAGCGTAATCCCCTGCAGGCTGATTCCGAGAGTCGTCTTCATCGCTCTGTCCCTCTTGCACCCATAAGAAGGCCCCGTGAGTGCGAGAGACACAGAGCGACGAAAAGGACTCTGGCCGCTGCTGACGAGCACCTCGACGAGCACCTCCACCCTGGCGGGGGTTCGCACCGGCAGCAGGCGGCAGGGCCAGTCAGCCGGCGGCAGAATGAGCAGAATGCAGTGCGGGCGACGAGGCGGCGTGTGTCATGTCGGCCACTGTTTATGGCCACACAT